GTAGGAAATAAAAATAATGTTTTAAAACGTAAAATTTCAAGATAAATAATGAATAATCTATATATAGAATAACAACAATAATCTTTATTATAAATGATAATTTTAATGAAAAAATATGTTTCCAAACTGTATCAAAAGATGTTAGATTTTTTGTATTAATTTTTACATTTAATTTTTAGAACGTTTGTGTTTCTAACATATTCACCTTTTAAATTATAACAGAAAAATTTGAGTAGACTGTTTGGGACACGTGAAATGTGTTAACTCAAGCTTTCCAACTGCGTGACCAATCCCTTTGCGTGACTATTGCGAGGATAAACGATCACTGCGTCCATGTGCGACACGCACTACCAGTAATTATATCCACGTGGGATATAATTACCGTCGCGGTGACGTTAATTAATTACCGTGTTTTCCCGTTACCGGTTGCGATTTATAATATTGTGGGCCGAGTAATACTCGTTTTTATCATAAATTAACTTTAAAAATTAAATTTTCTAGTTAAAGTTCAAATTAATTTTTCTAGTTTTTAAAAGTACAGAAAAAGATAAAATTAATTAAACTGAAATTAAAGTTAATCAATATTGGTAAGAAATAGATATAAAGTAACTATCGCGCTTCCCTTGAACCATTGATGGCTGCAGCCGCAAGTGCCAAGAGTTACGATTTAAAATAGCGGCGATATATATGTATGTACGCACGTGGCGTTACCCGACGAAGTTTCCCGAGAATGCAAGCGCCGATAATTAAATCGTAGCTACGATGCCTAGGAGCGACGTGACTGGAAATAAACCAGGATCAAGCGCCGCGCATTTGAAAACGTCTGACAGATTGCACTACGTACCTATCCCATATTGGAGCGTGATCTTATTCCTAGTCGCGCACGCGAGCAAATGGGCAGTTATTTATGAAGCCGTACTCGCAGCACTCGGAGAACCGGTAGCCGCGCCTCCGTTTGCGCGGAAACTTTGATAGCGATTTACGAGCGGCACGTGCTGCAACGGCGAGATACACCGAGAGCGTCCCGACTAAGGAAAAGAGAGCAGCAGAAAGAGAGAAAAAGAGAGAAAAAGAGAGAGAGCCTAAGAAAGCCTTCATGTTTAAAAGATAGAGTTTGTGTTATCGAAAGATTATACCGGCGCTCTTGGTGAAGACGTATAGTGCATGAGGAGACGAAGGGAAGACGTTGAAGAACGAGTGCGGGATAGAGATCGTTTCTCTAACGCGGCCGCTATAACTATCACTATCCGCGCGCAATCTACGAAGGGAAAGCGGCTGTATACGTCGGTTAGACAGCGTGATGTGTCGGGGTAAAAATGCATGTGTTTTAGACGCGACACGGATAAATAAACGGCCGCTGACGTTGACAAACCAGGGGTTTCCGTCGTCGTCGCGCGCGACGTTAATGGCTAAATGGTCTCGAACGTGGCGCGCTCGATATCAAAATCAAAATGGAATTCATTTTTTCTGAGTAATACTAAAATTATATTTAGAATTTACATTAAAATTATTAGGCCAATATCCAGCCTTGATCGTTACTGGCGTTTTATTTAATTGTGTTATTCACTAGTCTAGTCTAGTTTAACTTATTAATTTTTTTGCTCGCTGATATCTTCATCATTTGCGTATATTTTTATTTTCCCTTTCATTTTCACTATCATGTCATGTTAATCTTGCTCTTACGCAATAAATTAAATTAAGTTAATTACTTCGAAATATTCCCGACAGCTCGTAACTGTAAAGTAAGTCCCGTTTACGATCGAAATCTTTCCATTCGCTGACAAAGTTAACTTGTTCCTTTCTTCATGTACGCCGCCAACTCTTTATTTACATCGCAAACAGCCGTATTTCTGGACGTTACGCGCAAAGGTGACGCGGTAAAATTCTCGGCCGATCCGTCGAGGAATTTGTTTAAGGAATCGCAAGGGTGTTTGAAATTCTTACCGCGGTCGTTATTTCTTTGGAAAATTTTTTTTGTGCGACGTACCTGCGCGTTCCTCGCCGCGCGAGTAAATCCGTGCAAACATCCAAAACGTGCCGAAGCTCGTTACCGCAACCGAAAGCTCGAGGGAAGGCCGAAGGTAGAAAGAGAGAAGGACAACACCGGGGCAAAGCTCAAAGTGGCGCGAAACGTTTAAGGCTATTCCTGGAGTTTAGCGTCGAGGCAGATGGCCGGTTGCGTAGGTACCGAGAGGAATCTCTAGTTTCTCTAGTTTAGATATCAGTGAAATCACGGTTCGGTGGTAATTTAATCGCAAATCGAAATTTTTGAACGTTGTTAAAATATTCAGAAAACAGACCAAGCAAAAGAAAAAATTATGATATAAAAGTAACGTCAAAATGTCTATTAAATGATTTCTAAAAATTTTAGTCGATTTATTTTAACGTCATTTTATCGTGCACTGAGAAAAAAGGTTGCAATTATTACAATTTAATTATAATATATAGTCATTTTTAGCACCAACTACATATTTGTTTGTAGAACCAGAATATATTTAATATTACTAAAATTATAAGAGTAATAACTATAACAATGGGACTCCAAATTATAATTATTTTATCATGTAATTGCAGTGTACATGTTGCTGTAAATAATGAACACTTTTCTCTCAGTGTGACTTGTTGTTCTGCTTGGGAGAGATCTGATTTCGAAGGCGAGCTTCGAAGAGGAGCTTCAACCCGAGACTGGATTAAATACGATATATTAATTTGTATCGGAACTTCCTCATATTATTATTCGAAAAACAACCAAAAATTCTCTCTTAACATTCTTCTTTTAATATTCTAGCAACCAGTTTGAATTTCCAACACAATTATTTTGACGATTCAATAAAATTATTTTTAGATCTGTATTCAGCTAAATTTGAGGATCTCTCAGCAAAATCGTTCTTCTCGTGTCAAAAGCTCCGAGCGTAAAAGTCGTCAAAATAATATAGAGATGCAGCGCTCCTTTTGAGTTTCTAAACTGGCGCGGATTAATTTGTGCGTTCGCACAAATCGCGGAGGATCAACGGGGCCAGTCGTGCAAAAATATTTTTGGCACGACTCGTCGGGTGCCGACGACGATAATCCATCTTATCGGTCTCGTCTTGTCTCTCCGAACGAGGCAATCGTATCGTCGGCATTCAGTCGCCCTCCGAATTTCTCGTTCACGGATGAAGACGTGAAAAGTCACGACTACGATCGACGCTGAAAAAGTCGATCGAACGTCCGTCGTGTCGCCTTATTTAAATTATGATTCACTACGATGCGAAATAATCGGACTGATAAATTTGTTCAGAGACCGATTTATTGCCTACCTGTCCGATTACTCTCTCGAATCGCGTTGGACAAAATAAAACGTAACGCGGCTTCTTTTCGTCCGATAACATAACTGGTTTTACAATCAAGAAACCCATGGTGTCTGTGACAAAATATCAATTATCGTATTTATCGAAGCTTTTTTGATACAGATTTTCACAAAATTCCACCACGCGGCGCGAATTCTTCGGTATATTATTAACACGATTGTGCCAATTTTCTTTAACATTTTTCGAATTTTTAGATGTAACAAACGTAAAAAAAAAAAAACAAGCTAAATTGCTTCTTCGCTCAGCATCCGGAGTTAATATAAGTTGCTGAGTAATCGTTTCTTGAATTGGAAATATTTCATCCAGACGTCCTCAGGCTGTTTCTTCCACGCGCGATGTTCCTTTTTCGCTCGTACTTCCGCTTTCGCTCTCCTTCGCTTTCACCAGCTTCCTCGTCGGACTCGCACGCGCGCGCCGCATCTTCCTTCGTCGCTATTTTTCACGTCTCGCGCGATTCGCACTAGCCACGCACGCGTGCGTCCCGCGCGCTTGTTCCTTTTTCGATACGAAAATACCGCGGAACGGAATGACATTACGGACTTCCTTTACAAATCTTTGGCTCGCCACAACCGCGTACCAGGCGCGTCTCGTGGCGTTTCGTTTTCGCTCGTTCAATTTGACTCGTGATTTTGATCGGAGAACGAATTTATCGAAAGAATTTATATGACGAATGAAATAAATTTAAAACGACAGGATAACAAAATTTCGTTACGTGGTAATTTCAGCTTTCTACTGCGGATTTCCGCGTCGCTTTTGAACGTAATGTTTACGGGATTTCCATCGTGCAATCGCGAGCTTTCATCTTCCTTTGCAAATATTCTTAGAAAACGTCACGTGGCTGCTTCGGTGAATTAAACGCGCCCGAAATATAACTCGACTACGGCATTAATATATTAAAAATGTCTAATCACTGAATTTGTCTTTCTAATTTATTGGCTTATAACAAATATGACATTCATTTTTCTCCAAAAGATTTTTTCAAACGTTTTTAATGTTTTTATAATGCTTAGAGATATAATTAATTCATAAGTTATATTACTTTTGTTAAAATAAAATTCAATTAAAATTATGCGAAACTTAATGTTTTAATTATTAATTTGCCACGTAAAATTATTATTTTTCCGCACTCTTCATTTAATCACAAATTCCATAATTATTAATGCTTGATTATTAACATGATGATGTTTTAACTATTCTCTTGTGATAAAATGAAAAACATCCACTGATTTTCAGACGATAATATAATTAATAAGTCATCTCTCTTCTCTTTTATCTCAAAACACGTTGTGTGAATAGTATTCATAATGTTATATACTTGTGTTTTTTATTACACCAATCTGTTAGTGACAGATCAAACTAATACTGGAGATCAAACTAATACTGGAAGTGATGTGATGGTTCCATTAAAAGTTGATACAAGTGGCAATATTACCAGCGAAGGTTCACCTACTCCTACACATTCAGAAACCCAGGATTGTACCGATGCACGAAAATGTAAGTCCTCTGCAAACTTTTTTTCTCTCTCTATCATTTGCATGAAATTTGAGAGCACACAACAAGTATCCGAAAGATGTTTCCGTCGTTATTAAATGAATAATTGTGCGATTTTTCTGAAGAAATGTACGTAAGAGTTACGTCATGTTGTCTTACCTGTTAGCCGAATGTTCCGTTTTTGCGCAAGTCCGACGCTCAGGATAGCGAGGACCCCGAAGATTATGCAGAACCTCGTTGCCATTTCGACTCGCTCGATACCGGGTATACGCAATTAGTGTAATCGTGACATGGATTATTTCCTGAAACAGAAACCATAGATAGCTTATTTATCTTGTTCTTTATACGCCGGGATAAAATAGTCTGTGGACTGTGGTTGGTAAATGCCTTTTAACGACATATTCGGGGGCATCGAGAGCGATTATTCTTGGTTCGGTGAATGATCACCGTGCAAAAACGAAAGGGAAAAGGGAAAAAGAAGGATAATTATTAGAGTTTGAAAAAACCCGAGTTTTTTTTAAAAAGTCCAGCCCAGTGGATTCAGCGCGCGCGCATCTGCGCGCCTTGGATTCTAATAAATAAAATATTCCAGCACCGTGCGCGTACGCTTCCCCATTCTACCGCGCTGTGTCCCCCCCTCTGCGCGTCATCTTCTTCCGTAAGCATCGCACGTATCTCTTATTATTATTCACGCCGTTCGAGTATCTTCTTTAACTTTCTTACCTTCGCGCCTCATCTCACGAAGTCATCGACGATCGCCGGAAAGTATCCCTTCGTCGAGGATGGGCCAACGGGGAAAGGGGAAGTCGCGCCACGCCGAATCGAATCATGAATATTCCACGGATCTTTCAGTCGATCTCTTCGTCTTGCTTGTACATACCTCGCGTCGTTCAACGTTTGTACGCGTCGGAACGAGCAGGCGGGCGTGCAGTAAATCGTCCCGCGGTCAGGAAAAGTCAAAGCGCGAAGGATGGGTATATGTACCGTATGTACGTCGCCCGTCTTTACGTAGTACGTACCCATGCGACACGAAAACAATTTGAAAACGAGCGACTCGACACTGCTTTCCCTCCCTCTCTCTCACCTGTTCAGACTGTTCGCAAAAGCGTCGCACGTTTTTTCCATGGAGTATCGGCTATGCCCGTCACGGGTCTGCAATGTTCGTCGTAGGAAAATCACGGCGATCGCGAATGACGAGCCTGTAGATACCGCCGCGCATGAGGATACGTGACCGAGATCGATGTTATTCAATCAATATCACGCGTGCGGGACAAGTTCTCTTCCGGATCGGGCCGATATATAATTTGCCTGATCGCCTCGAATCTGTATCGCTTCGATTTTTTGTTTCCGACGAAAACTCAGGTTGCAAATTAACGTTACTTGTCGTTTTATTTACCTGAAAACGTATAGGAATCCTATAATTTGTATTTTTATGAATATATACATTGCGAAGGACGCGAAACTCGTCTATTCGAGATTCGAGCGCCGAACGTCGGAGCGTCGGCGATCTTCGATTGCCCGGAATAGGTGAGCGAACATCTTCGTATTTCCCTACTTTTTGCAGCGATGAGAAATACCGCGGTGTAAACGCGTCGCGGCTCCCTCGGTCTCGTCGAGCGTTGAATAAAACATACGTGGCAACGTGACCGCCGAGTGAATTGAGATATCCACGAGGCGGTCACGATCGATTCGTTATCGACGCGGAAAATCACAGCCGGCGGCATCGCGAAACGCCGAAACCGTGGACAAGTGAGTCCATTTGCATTGTGCAACATGGTCGCTATTGATTTTTATATTCGATCCTTGCTCCCGTGAAAAGTACTCCGGTCTTGACGCAGCGAAGAAATGCTTCGTTTACGCGAGAAATCATATTTAAGTCAAAATTCATATTTTGCGTTTATCTTTTGCGCACATACATATGTATATTCATAAAATCCTCAGGATCATAATTAGGTGCGAAAGAAAAAGCGCGATAGGAGATCCCGTTTCTTCTGCGCGTCGCGTCGGAAATTGAATCCAAATTGAAATTACATAGTCCTGACATAAATTGTGTTAATAATATTGTTAATAATATATGGTTAATTATTGGTTAATAATAATTGTGTTAATACTATAATTAATAAAATGGATTTTTCATAACTAAAGTAAAAAGCGGCATAAAATGTATACTTATTTTTAGATAAGTTAGGAATATTGTTAGATAAGAAAGGAAGTCTTTTGCTATTCTTCGGATATGTCGCGAGCGAATTCCCGTTCGAGCGAAACAGAGCTCGAAAGTTTGACGTTCGTGAAGTCGGAGAGTGCTCGCATGTACCAAGGCCACCCACGTGTATCGTACGATCTCTTCGTCGACGTTATTAATTCTTCTCGCGACCCATGGGGCTAAAACGGATATGCCTGCTAAGCGGCTTATATTTTTCGGGGGTCGACACCCTCTCCGTGTACGGATAATATCTTAACCCGCTACGGGACTCCCTCTCGAGACGATCCGTTTCCGGTTCGCGCGCGGATGAATGAAAACAAATACATAAAATGAATATCGGAAAGAATCCATGGTCATCGTTATTTGTTTTAAGATAATCATTTTTTTTGCTAATTTGGTCATAATCAAAGCAATTGTTGTTTTTATGTGTTCTAAATCCACTTAAACTGCAAGAAAATGTTTACAATAATAATGCAAAATTAATTAAAAATTACTTATTATTAATATAATATAAAAATTGATATTTCTTATAAATATTTACTTAAAATTCCACAAGCTGGTTCTTGTGTTTCACGCCAAAGCATCTAAGAAAGGGCATGTCGTTGGTACAACGTTAATTTTAATTTTACCTTTAACTCTTTTAGGCTTTCTTCTTTTTCGTTCTCTCATGGACGAGTAGCGAGCAATATGTATAGTTGCTCATCAACTGAATCGACTTTTTGATTTTTGGTCGCTTGCTTGCCTAGTTTTGAATCATCATGTTATTTATTTTGCGGACAATATTTTCATCTTTATCACTGGTCTATTGGCAAATCTGTTGACTGTCATTAAAAGGATCCAATAATTTAGTTATTTTTTTCCATTGTCTTTGCATGGTAAACTATAGGTATAACATCATCATCACTGGATTGATCTCTATATTCAAATAGAAAGTACTTTATTTATAATATCACGGCATCGCGATATTTCTCTCGAATGCGGACTTCCGGTTTATAGTTCACCTAGTTGTATGATTTATCGTCCATGATTTAAATGCACGACGGATATGAGAGAGAGAGAGAGAGAGAGAGAAAGCGCCTTCCAGAAAAACGAATCTCTTTGGTATCGTCTTCCTTTAGTGCTTGTCTCTTGTGATCCTCCTTCTTAATGTGCCTCTTCCGTCTTTTACCTCGTCTTTGATCCGCGCCGCCGCGTCGGCGACGGCTGATCGAGCTTTTTAACAGCGAAGGTATTAAGGTGTGTGCATTCGATTAGGCGCCATTCCGAGCCGAAATTGTATTTCTATCAGTTGCCGTTCGTAAATTTCCACGCTTTTCGTTCTCCTTTATCTCGAAGGTTTTGAGGTACTTTGCCGAATTTATTTACGATCTTGCCTCTCTCTTTCTTCCTTCCCCGAGATACCGCCGTAAATTACACCACAATTCAATTAAAATAATATTAAAATCGCACTCACTTAAATATTCGAGAGTTAATGGAAAAAAAAATATAGAAGATGGGCCCATGTAAAATCACGCTTCTCGAGTATACCTACTTCTGAAGGAGTCAGGAAGCGTATACCTTGATTTATGCATGAATGTTTAAGTGCTACGACGATCCTCTTTCCTTCTCCCGGCCGTTCCGTGATTATCGTCGAAAATCTCGGCGCGAGATCTACGATATCCCTACGGAGGAGTGTTCCACGACCCTCGACAAATTGAATGAAATCGCTCTAACCTGTTTCATCACAGCCCGACGATTCGACCACCCGTAATTATCGTGACGTAGGTCCGGGACCTCGCGGTATCGACGCGAACGGCGAGGATATAACTTAAAAAACTCGTCATACCAGCACTTTCTTTTGAAATTTTAATATCGACGTTTTACACTGTATCTCATCTCATACGCAAATGTCGACGATGACGAAACGCCGCTTAGGCGATCAATTGAAGATTTTATCATGATTGAACTCGATTTTTTATAGTCTGATAGAAATTATAAGAATCTGGTTGGTATTTTTATGGTTACTATATTTTTTGATTGGATTTATAAAACTTTTAATTATATTCAATAAACTTTTTTTTTCACTAAAAAGTTATGCTGATGTAATAAAATTAATTTAGTGTATCTATCATTATTGAAAAATTGTGATATATATAACAGAAAGAAATTAATCATGCTTTTATGGCAACTGTGATAATTTTTAGAAGAATTTTTAATTTGTTCATTTTCCAACAGACATGTAATTGAATCTGTCAGATTTTTGTGCAACCAGTTTTTTGTTATGAATTTTGAGTGATTAACTCTAAGATAAATATCAAGAAATAATCTTTTTTAAATCAGACTATAAAAAACAGAGTTGGCACTGTCATTTCAATCGCCTTTATATACAGTCGCAAGAATGACCTCACGAGTTTTAAAATGCTGGGGACGAGTTTAGCGAACCCGCGAGCTTTGTTTCGACGCCAGATTTACATCCCCGCTAATGGAATCGTCTTCGCCGGGAGAATTCCAGGCGCCCGATCTTCGTGTCTTATACAGGAGGAAAGTAGCGTAGAGTGTGCATGTGTGTGTGCGGGTATAGTAGCGATCGTGTCGATGGGTACGAGGCGAGAAAACGTGGGCACGGTTTTCATTACGATTTCGACGAGAACCAGACGCGCTTGTTCTAAAGTCTAACTCTCGAAGTCGAAGTCTACTATTCTTCATGAAGTATCGTGGCAGATGGGGAGGGTGAGAAAGTGAGAAAAGGAGGGAGGGAGAGAGAAGGGGGGGGGAGGGGGAAATAAGATATATTCCATTCGACCGTTCTTGGGTCGATTTATATGACAGCTCGCCTGTTCGCGTGCCGATTCGAAAAGAACAAATGTTTATCGTGGCGCCGACGCTCACGTTATTTTTACGATAGCTTTTATAAACTGATTTGCGTTGTTATTTTGGTTGTTGGTTTAGTTGTTATTTTTTTTTAAGCATCCCTCCACTGAGAAAAATGTTTTGGTTATATCAACATGAGCGAATTTGAAGAAGTACATTTAAAATGCATTCTGATCATGCCAGAATTTCCAGATTATCGTGATTGAATTTCTGGTCATCTCGATATTTTAGAATATTTCATATCTCGAT